GGTTTCCTGGCTGCTGCGTATTTTTCTATCATTCTGAAAGGCTGAAATGGTTCTTCTAAGGCTTGGTGACAGTAAGAGATTTAAGCTCAAATATGCTGGGGATGGGGATGGTTTATTTGTATTTTGGTCCTGCCCCTTTGCCTTTTGGCAACTTCTGCTGCCTTTCACACACCTCTGGAATGAAGCTTCTCAAAGTTTTCTGAAATGGAATTTAGTCTGTTTGGGTTGAAAGAACTTCTGTACCTTGAAGTACAGGGACTAAAAGTGTATATGAACTAGAGGATTGCACAAATGCTTACAAAGTTGAATCCGATGCCTAGATATGTGGAAACGGGTGACACCTAAAGTCTGATGTTGACTTTAAGGAAAAAAAGTATGTATACTGCCCACTGGGCATCTGTGGTCCAATGCTGGGGAGCTGCAGCCCAGTCAAGAATCCTGACTGCACTGCAGTGGACGAGTTCACAAGAAAGCTTTGCTATAAAATGATGGAGGAAAGTTGCAGTCTGGAGATCTTTTCCATCATGCAAAGATGTTGCAGTCCAAATTCTGGCCCATTAAACACTGGCAAAATGGAGAGGGGAGGGAGAACAGCATATTCTGTCAGTGTATTTAGACAGAAAGAAGTCCTGAATCTCCCAGCATTCCTCTGCAAGCCGTGTATAAGAAGTGTATAAGTGTAACCTACTGAAATTAAGCACATTTGCATGTGTTTGATTATTTTGCATAATTTATATGAAATAGGGCAAGATGCTAATGTAGGTCACCCAACCCTCTGAAAAATAGGCACCCTTTCCCCCCCAGCATTAGCCATATTTCCATGCCTGTCTTTGCAGATTTGAGATCTAGAAAGCCATTTTCTTCTTTTAAGGGAAACCTGATATTCTCAAGATGATGAATTCTGCAATGAACTTCACTTCCTACATTTGTATGACATGACCACAGAGTCATAGAACATGTTCATCTTGAACATCATTCAGTCTATTAGGACAAGTGCATGGCTGTTGTAGCAAAGATGCAGATGAACAGAAATTTTCAGTGTTAACCTCTGTGTGGGTTGTTAAGGTAAATGTTACTTCTATTTACCCATGGGAAACTCAGAAACCAATAATTATTCAGCTAAATTAACCTATGTGTCCCTTATTAGCCTTTTCCCCTCCCTTTTATTCTTTTTCTCTTCTCCCAGATCATTTTCCTAACCTAGCCAGAAACCTCCAACGTGAAAGCACAATCCCATGTGGAACATCTGAATGTGTGTCCGCCATTTATATTGGGATGGTGCTCATCTGGATTTGCCTTTGAGCACAGATGGGTGGTTATCTCCACTTGGAGCCAACAGTTGTTGCACTGCTGGGATAGATGTGTCTAACTAGGGCCTGGACAGAGTTTGTAAGCAGTTTGTGGATGCAAATACCCTGGACTGCCAGAAAGACAAACAGGAGGGTCCTAGGTGAAATCAAGGCAGAAGGTTCCCTGAAAGCAAAAATGACAAGACTGAAGCTGTTGTTCATTGAGCAAATCACGGGAAGGCAAGAGTCACGTGAGAAGACAACCATGCGAGGGAAAGTAGAAGGCAGAAGAAGAAAAGAAACACCAAATATGAGATGGACAGACTCCATCACCTTGAATTTACAAGAGCTCAGTAGGGCTCCGAAAGACAGGACGTTTTGCACTGGATTCATTCGTTCATAGAGTCACCAGAAGTCACAGACTACTTGATGGCACAAAACAACAACAATGGATGTGGAATGCATGCCTTCACATGCAAGACTCACGCAGGATTCACAGGCTCCTGATGGTGGCCATGGGTGCTACTGGGTCCCCTTGGCATTAAAACAAAAAAGGCCTGTATCTCATGCTCGTAGTCCTACTTAGAGCAGACCCATTGGAATTAATAGAAGTTTGACTAATATTGGGTAAAGGTAAAAGTAAAGGTTTCCCCTTGACATTAAGTCCAGTCATGCCTGACTCTAGGAGGCGGTGCTCATCTCCGTTTCCTAGCTGAGGGGGCCAGCGTTTGTCTGCAGACAGTCTCCGTGGTCATGTGACCGGCATGACTAAACACTGAAGTGCACGGAACGCTGTTACCTGCCCACCGAAGGGGTACCTTTTTATCTACTTGCATTTGCATGCTTTCGAACTGCAAGGTTGGCAGGAGCTGGGACAGAGCAACGGGAACTCACTCCGTTGTGCAGATTCAAACCGGCGACCTTTCGTTCAACCAGCCCAGCAGCACAGCGGTTTAAACCACTGCACCACCTGCAGTCCCTTATATTGGATACAATCCTTTAAATTCCCTTTTTTTCTATATAGTTAACTTTATAATTAGTGTTCACTAGATTGGGGTCCTTTAATTGTATTTTATAGCACTGCCACTCAAGCCCAGCCTTCCTTAACATGGTTTAGCTACAACTTCCATCATCTCTAGCCTGCACAGGAAAAGAGCGTATTAGCTGAAAATGATGAGAGCTAGTGCCAGGCATTTGGGAGGTGCTAGCTGAAAAGTGCTCAAGACACACTTCATGAATGAAACATGGACCACAGGATCCAAAGAAAAGCCCATCTTCCTGTGAAGCATAGAAGTGCATCAAACATACTTGCTGCTGGTATTTTTACAGAATGTTGTTGCTGTAACAAAAGATGAGCCCAACACATGTTGCTTGTGGCATAAGCATTTTGTTGTGAATGAGGCCTTGCTAGAGGCAACCTTAGGGCTTGGCACTGTTCCTGGGGAACTCAACATCTCTCAGCATGAATGCAAGAGCCCAGTCTTGTGGATGCCACATCTATGACAATTCAACATAGGTCATGTTAATCTATGATTAATCTGGTTTTGCTAACCATAATGTTTCAAAAACGGTGAAAGCTCTTCTATTAATGGCTTTTGTTTTGAACTTCATATATCATGTCAAGAGAGAGGTGCGATGTTGTGGTTAAGAGCACAGGACTGGGATGAAGGCAACCTGGGTTCTAGTCCCCACTCAGCAAGACTAGGAGAATTGTCACATACATCGCTTGAGGGATAAAGCCTACTTGTGTTAATTTTAGGAGAACAAGCAGGCACTGAAGTCCTCCTCCGCTCCCCACTTCACAAGCTATGCTTTACATTTTCATTTAGTGCATCATAATTCTTAGCTGCATTTTTTTAAAAAGATTCACAAATAGATAAATTTATTTATTTGATTTCTATTCTACATTTTTTTTCCTTACCAAGAACTCAAAACAGCTTAAACCATTCTTCTGCTGCTGCTCTCAATCTTATCCTCACAACAACCCTGTGAGGTAGGTTGAACAGAGAGTCTGTGACTGGCCCAAAGTCGCTGTGTGAGCGTCATGGCTGAGCAGGGACAAGAACCCAGATCCGCAGATCCCCAGTCCAACACTCTTCCCACCACACAACTCCCACTGAACTCTCTGAGGATTGCAGTGCAAGGCACAAGCCCCTTAGCATGAAAGAACATGTAAAGACAGAGACGACGATGACAAATAAAGCATGCAGAGGGATGCAGAAAAGACCTTATTTAAGTTGACCAGCTACATCACAAGGCTGCAGGTAACATTTAGCTAGCAGCAGCCTGCTGCCTAAGCAGACGGTGCGAGTCTTGCAGACACAGGAGCGGCTAAGACCGGATGATCACAGAGCAGCGGAGACAGAAAAGCCATCCGACTCCAAGTCATGATTGAGCCCTGCCGGCACACCTGTCCTTTAATCCTCCTCCATTATCATGTATTACATGGGAGTTGTTACTGCAAGAGGAAAGCTCTGCCACAAGGGCTGAGGCCACCTTTCCCTTTTCACAGAAGCCTGGTGGGGGAGGGCACAGGCCAGCCATTCTGGGTATGATGTGGGATGCTTTTAAGTGATTCTTGCATGGCTCCGATTTTCTAACAAAATGCCCCTTTGGCCATTTCTCCTGTTAACATCCAAAGCATTTGATCATAGCCCTAGTGACCCGCTCACCCAGTTCATTGTCTGAGCTGCCCCTATGGCAAGGAGGCGGACATTTCTAATAGGGGGGATCCAGAGATTCTTTACAATCCAAAGGAAGTGGTGCACGCACCGAAAGAGGTCTGTAAGGGCAAGCATTGCCCCATAAAAAGTTTTTAGGCTTTGCCAGCTCTACATCAGCTTTGACGAAGAGCGAGTGTGTGCACAAAGAGGATCAAGGCTGTACCAGTAAGCATATCTGAATCTCTCTGCCATTTAGTATGTATGTATGTATGTATGTATGTATGTATGTATGTATGTATTTAGGAAGCTTCTATGCCGCCCCATTCGCCAAAGCCTCGGGGCAGCTCACAATAATAAATAAATAATCACAATATAAAAAACAATATAATTTGAGTATAAGGTTCCTTGGTGGAAATACTTGTCTCGATGCCTCACAGGCATTTGGCAAGTACCCGAAGGCCACATTTGTCACTGCAGCTTGGCAACTATACATGCACCTAAATGAGATAGTTGTATAGGATATTTGTGGGAATTTGTCCAGTTCTGAGGAGCTAACAAATGACTCTTGAACAGATTTGGGACATGAGAGAATCCTGTTTCCCAGGTCACTTGGAATTTGCATTACCACCATCCCACTGTGCTCTTAACCAGCTGTTTCTGGTGAGAGACAATTGCTGCTATTCAAAATGGGAGTCTCCTGAGTATAAAGGGAAATGGGCTGGGTAATCCCGCAGTTCTGTTGGAGTGCTCTGACTTACCCAGCACCTGCCAGGCTCATGCTGGCAGAACTGAAGGAGCGGTGGAGGCCGTTCCTCCTCCAAGGCTGTTGTGTTCTTGTTTCCACAACCTTTTCCTGATGTTGCGAGGACTGGAAGGGAACTTAGGACAGCTCAAGGGCAGTTACATTTTGGGGCCGTTCAGCTCTGCCTCCAACCTCCAAGGGGGGATTCTGTATTTTCTATGGTTGCAGTGAGCCAATGAATTGCAGCCCAAGACTACATTGAAAGAAATGAGCTTTGCTTCCCAATAAATTTGCAGGACTTCAGTGTAAGAGGGTACAGTTTATTTAGTAGCAACATGTGCCAAGTAGGGCTTGTGTGGGGAAGGAAACAATAATATTTTCTTTAGGAATTGCCAGAGCCTTTTCAACATTGTTTGTATTAACATAATTAAGCTAAAATAAAATATACATTATAACCCTCAAAAGGCAGAAGTAAGGTATCTGGTTAATGCATAACCTGAACAATCTAGACCATATCTACACCACAAAATTGACTGATGCTTTTGTTAAGGTGCTTATTACTTAGTGGACTTATGGAATGTTGCAATATATACATATACACATACACAGAGTATCATTTCATATTTATATATGCATATTTGAACTGATAAAAGGAACTGGTTGAGATTGCTGAAACCCTTTATAATTTCTAATCCATAAAAATGAATTTAAAATATTTAATATAAAACATCTACGAAATTATTCTGTTTACATTTTATGGATTTTAAAAAACAATATAGAAAACATTTCCAGTTCTTATGAACGAACCCTTCCGCACTGGTTGGAGTCTATTTTGTGCACCTCAGTAAGATGCCATTTGTACCAAAGAGCGTTTGAACAACTGTGCATAGTGAGAGAGGTCTGTCACTCGGTCCACCATGTCTTGCAAGGATGCTGTGCTGGGATAATTCAAGGCTGCCATCTTGGTTGACATGACGATGCTTTTGAGCAGCTCGCAGAGCTGGTTGCTGGAGTTCATTATACTATTCCGTATTTCCTGAGTTGTCAACTGCCTTGTCAGGGTATCCCCGATGAACACCAGTTTGTGAGCACTCAGGATGACGAACTTGCTATGAGCAACGAAGATCCGAGGGGGCTGCGCAGCACTGATGCAACTGAAAAAGGCATCAATGGCATTTAAGAGGGACACAAAATGGGTCTCGCACTGGTCCGAGTAAAACAAAAGCAGCTGCCTCTCTTGGGAGGCTATCAGACTGTTCACAGGGTAAAGGCCTTGAGGTGGCTTCCATTTTGAGATGTCATTTTCCACTGGCTTTGTGATTTCTTGCTCCAGCCACTGGAACTGATGGAGCTGAAAGGCAAGGAGGAGAGTCAATGCCACATGCTGCTTGCGGTACCCAACACAGCATCATTTGTCCTTTAATCGTGAGCTCAGGTGGTTGAGTGGAGAGGACTGGACATGCACATGGTGGGCATGTCATGAGCAGAGCTGTCTGGAGCCAGGGTCAGACTAGATGGCCCGGGAAACCCCTTCTGACTCACTCTATTTCTATGTTTCTATGACTGGGGCCAAAATGAGGCCACTGAAAGACAAGGGCCATGCTCAGGAGAATCCTGAGGTACACAGAAGTAGGATGCCATTTAAAAATGCTTTTAGTCAGCCTTCCTGGCTGTAAGTCTGTAGCCGGGCACTGCCATGTTTTTAATCTTTGCCTCATGCAATCTAGGTCCAATAACAAGGAGACTGAGAGTGTTTTGTGGTCTCCAACAACTTTGGAATGCTGACAGTTCTTTGGAAAAGAAAGACAGGAAGACAGACACCTACAAATTGGAGGGGAACAGTGAACTGGCTTGCTTGAATACCTTTAACTTCTGGTATTCTGCCGGAGGAGACCATTATCAGTTGACTGGGACACTGAACTCCTGTGAGGAGCTCTGGTGGGCCCAGCCCTGTTGCCATGGCTGCTGCCCCTCTGTCACATTGCCCCCTTCCTAACTGTATGCAACGTGAAGAAGAATCCCCTCATCATATCCAATTGGCAACAACTAAGGGATTCAAGTCGGGTTGTACTCTGCTTATCCTTCATCTGCCCCACGTGAAAGAGAAGCAAAGCTGGAAGCAACTTTCCAGTAGGCTGAAACAGTCACAGACTCTCAGCCCAACCTACCTCACAGGGTTGTTGTTGTGGGGATAAGATGGAGGAGGAGAATGATGTAAGCTGCCTTGAGTCCTTTGAGGAAAAAGGCAGGATATAAATCGAAAAATAAATAAATAAATAAACAAAACTTTCAGGGCTGCCATTCTCGAACATCATATGGCTTGTGAAAGGGGCGGGGGGAATTCAGCCCCTGGCACCAATATGGTTCCCCACCTTTGACTTAAGAACTAAAAGCTACCAGCACATTCTGACAATTTGCCTTCTTCGTAGGTCACCCTTTCTGTGCATCTCCTGATTTCAACAGAATTCATTCAGGGGTGCAGTTCTCTGAAGGGACAGTCCTATACATTTTCCCTTCAGCCCTTTGCCACTTCTTTCACTCGCCTGCCATTTTGGGAGCTGCCCCTACAGCCCTTACCTGGTGATGCTCCAGCTGCATCTTGTGCTGTTTGACGATATTTTCTTTCTCTAATAGCTCCTTCTGTTGCCTTTCAAACTCTTCCTTGCCCTGAACATGTAAGAAACAAAAAAACCCCACATCACACAAATACATCTCTCCAGGTAACAAGCAGCCTTTTAGCTATTTATTACACAGTAGGTAGTTTATTCTGTTCTCACTCCAGTTTTTATTACCAGCAAGGAGAAAGTATGCGGGAACAATTAGAACCCGTGGTTTGAGATGATCCAAACAAAAGGAGCTGCTCAGAGTGATTCTTCCACATGACAAACAAGCAAAGCAGGGGGAGTGGAGGAGAGGATGAGGGGGGAAAAAAATTGACTCTTCTGTGATTTGCCGGAGGGTTTCCATTTTGGCTTCTGTTGAGCAGTTTAGCAGGATATGGAAAAAGAGAGAACTGCCTGCTACTGTTTGTCATTCAGCACCCTTCTCCATTGTCGCGCTCTCCAAATGTTTTGGACTACAGCCCCCAGTGTTTCCAGGCAGCACAGCCAATGGTCAGGAATGGTGGGAGCTATAGTCTAGAATGTCTGGAAGATACTGGGGAAGGAGGTCATGACCACAGGAGCTCCTGGTACAGGATTTCTGCCCTCCCTTACAGAGCTAGACTCTCAAGTGAGGAAGGTCAGGAGGGAGCCGCAACTCCTGGCTAGGAAATGAAGAGAACAAGCAGGACTGGGGCAGGCCAGTCCAGGACACTTTGCTGCGTGGAACAAAGGGCCAAAATCATTCCCCATCCCCAGGCCATATACAGGTGCCACCTGGACTGCAGTTAGATCTTGTTCCAGAACTGGTGAATGAGTCGCATTCTCCCCCAAAGGCAGGCTGGTTTAAAGGCTCCAGGATGGGAGGTGCACCAGACATTGCTCTGTTCCCTCGCAGGGGAACAGTCAGAGTGGCTGAGGACACCTGGGAGGCTGCTTCTGCTGTCAACATCCCCATAAAGGGAGGCCCAACACTGTCTGTGGCCTAAGATAGCCACTTTAACTAATGGCAGGGCCAGTTCTGGAATAGGGGCCCTGATGTTATACATCTAAGCAGGCATGAAAATAACTCTGAAAGGCAAACTATGTGCTTGGGCCTTTTCCAATTTAGAAAAAAGGAAGGACTTGCTAGAGGTTTCTTCAGATAGAAACGGTACAGAGGAGCCTATGACCTAGTTTGTAGGTATTGAGGTTATTTAACCCATGGTTTGTTGCCCCACCCAGCATTTGCCTGGCAGATGATCAAACATAATGTGTATGTTTCCCATTTCTCCAAAAATGAACTGTTATTTTTGTTTGTTTTTTTCATGTCCTTGTCCTTCTACCTGCTCCCTACTTGGCAGGGAGCCAAGAATAGCTGGGGGTTTGGATCACTCTTGCCTGGCATATCTGTAATCTGGCAAAACAACCCACAGTTCTGGGTTCACTTGAAGTAGTGCTCTACTGTTTAAAGAATCCAGAATTCACAATCATGTTTTATCTTTCTGGGTTGTATGTGGATTACCAATAATTGTCTGTTAGCATACAGTAGCTGGGTTTGTACATCCTATTAACCCAGAATTTAACAACCAGGAGTTAAATAAACTGTAAGCAGGCATTATTCCTATGGTACAGGTCTTCATTAGACAAGCATTTTTCTCCATAACATAATATAAATATAATATATCCTTATTTATTGAATTTTCTCTCTCCTGATATTATTTATTTGAAAGATTGATAAACCGCAACTTCATTCTAGAAAGGATTTCAGGGTGATATACATTAAAAGGGCCTAAAAACAGTAAGATACAGTACAATCAAAACAACCATAAATCTAAGTATCAAAATCTAACACAGTCAGGCATACTGCTATTACAACTGGCTGAAATGATCAAAACACCAATCTGAAAATGTTAGATTTCAAAGGCCTGTGCAAATGAAAAGATTTTCACCCAGCACCAAAAAGCATGCATTGTTAGCAGGCCCACTTTTGCAAATGCTGAATACACGTTTCCAAGGTAAGAAGTACAGAGAAAGGCACCAGAGCCAGACAAAGAGAATACCAGGTGGTAAATGCAATGAAGCAATTCAGTGTCACACTCTTTTTCTCCAAGGTATGGGGACAGCCAGTAGTTAAAGGACAAATACCCACATTCAGGGCAAATGGCTCGTTCTGCAGTGTTTATTTGCTGCAGAGAAATGTCAGGGAGTGGCTGGAGGCAAAGGCTTTGCCTCCGTGTCCTGACTGCAAACATCCCAGACGCATGGGGATGCTCTCCTGCATGCAGCTGGAGGGGCAAAGAGTGGGTGGCTTGTTTTAAATGCCTCTGGCAAACATAGAAGGACACAGACCCCACTTCTGCAACACCATTTCTTGCCTGCAGTGCTGTAATGCATGTACATATTATACAGGCAGTCTCCAGATTACAAACGAATTCCATTTCTGAGAAAATGGAAATTCGTCTTTAAGTCAAATTTGTATGCAAGTCGGACCACGCACAGTTGGCCCTCCACATGAGTGGGGGTTGGGGGTGCAGGACTCCCATGAATGTGGAAAAAACAAAAATCCCCCACTCACAACTCATCAGTGCTCTTTGCAGCAAGGAAAAGCCGGAGGGATATCCCTTTCTAGTTGGCCAGGGCAGGAAGGCATGCTTTGGACACCTCATTCTGTTCCCTTCCACCCCCCCCCCACCCCCCATGGTGATGCTTTGGAGGTTCTCCCTTGCTCCCCTTTTGCATTCTCTCTCTCTAGGGTGATTAACATTTTCTGCAGCAATTTTTAAAAATTTATTGACTTTATGGCAGTTTGTTTGTAAGTATGAGTTGTCTGTAACTTGGACGTTCGTAACTTGGGGACTATCTGTATATATACCAGGAGTGCCAAAAAGGTATACACATTTTAAGAGATGTTATCTATGTATTATATTACTTTTCAAAGTTGAATTGAATTGCAGGAGCAATGTGTAGTATGACATGCACTCAAAAGATTAATCAAATTAATGCTAGCATTACCATGTGATAGGCAGGACAAAGAAAATGGTGGAAGCACAGTTATCATTCGAGGAGCGGAAGACCATTTTGAAGTGGTATTTGAAATTCTCTGGACTTAACACTCCTTGACTTCTGCCTATGGGGGACCTTAAAGAATGTGGTGTACCATAGAAAACTGGCTACACTGGTGGTACTTCAGGAAGATATCGGAACCGCATGCGCAGCGATACAGGTGGACACAGCATTGCTCAACAGTAGTTTGCCATAATAAGAAGTGTCTGGACTCTGATGGTCACCACTCTGAGTACCTCTTGGAATTGCAGAAGTCAATTGTTACTTGTATTCATCTTTTGTTCTCAGTATATATTGAGTATTACAATTTTCATACAGTTTTTCCTTTCTTAAAATGTGTATACATTTTTGGCACCCTCAGTATATTCTTGTTTTTGTATTACCAGATAGTATTCTATTGTGAGCCACTTGGGGTTTTTAATAGCTTAAGTGGTATTAGCTATAGTAATAAGGGATGAATACTTTAAATAAAATTGGGCCAGCGCTCGCTCGCTCGCTCTCTCTCTCTCTCTCTCTCTGTGTGTTTGTCTGGATGCATTTGGCTCAATCCAGAAAAGCAGTTCTCCTGCAGAACTCACCTGCAAGTGAACGTAATCGTAATCATCCATCCAGCTTTTCTCTGAGCCGTTGCTGCTGTTGCACTGATAGTGCTGGTCTTTAGACAGAAGCGGTGGTGAAGACGTGCAGGAATCCTGGCTTTTATCTCCAGGATGCAAGCTCAGGGCCTGAGGACAGTCATACACATAATCTGTGGCTGGCATAATCCCCTCCGAGACATTTTTCATGTAGGGTCCTTGCTTGAAGAGCATCTCAGCATTGACGCTGATGCTGGTGGTCAGCTGTTTAGCATCATCTGGGATCGTCCTGGCCACCATAACAAACCTATCCAGGTCATCGCACTTATTCTGGGGTTTGTTGAGTGCCAGGATGTTCAAGGACCAGTTACAATTGTTCAGGTCATGGCTAGTCTGGGTTAAAATCTGATGGGAATCGTCCAACCTCTGCAGCTCCCTCCTCATTTTATTGTAGAGGCTGAGTTCAGAGAGGAAGGACGCGTTGGCTGTTGCCCCTTTCGCAAAATGTAGGTAGTCGACCAGGGATTGCTCCACCTTGTCGACGGCAGCGCGGACCTTGTTGATGTGCTTTTCCATATATTCGTAGGACCTCCAGTCAGGGCCGACGAAGGCCATTAAGCTGGAGACAGTGGACTCCACGGTGCTCTGATGACAGTAGAGCCTCTCAATGGCTGTGTCAGGGTCCAGCATGAGCCTCTTGTCCTGAGATGGAGGGGCTGAAAAAGAAGATTCCTTTGAAGTTGTGGAAGAGGTGGACATGTTGCTTCTGGTGCTTCCCGTGCTGGAGAAAGACAACCTGTTCATCCGGTCAGTCGCGTCCTGCAACCTTTTAGTGTCCTGAGTGACCTGGGGAGGCACATCATACACGCCCTCCTTTCCTTCTGGGCTTAGGCTGTCACCAAATCCCAGCTGCTGCCCAGGGAACGGGATTCCTCGGGGGGTATCATAGACGTCTGTCTGAGGAGCCATCTGCTGCCCGAGCAACTGGGTTTGGTGGCTCACAGGCACATCATACAGGCCCTGTGGGTGTGGTGTTGGGTCCGAGGAGGCAGCCAGCTCACTAAGGCACTTCTGTCTGAATTCATTCCCGGCTGCTTTGGCCATGGGAGGAGGGACATCATAGACGCCTTCTGGTCTCTTCTCATGCTTTAGGCAAGCAGCCGAATCAGTGGCCAAACGTTCTTGGGAATCTGTGTCATCTCTGTACGCAGAAGGAGGAATGGCATAGATCTGGAACATAAATCCAGCACCGTGAGCTACTGAAGGTCATTGGCCCCATAAAATGGGGGTTCCAGTGCTAAGTAATGTCTTAGAGCAGTCTCTTTGCTGCCTGTGTACTAGCAGGACCCTCATCCAGCACCAAGAGGAGCTAGTGGTTCTAAAAACCACTCAAAATGAGTAGAAACGCTAGTTTCTGGAATGGGGCAGGTCAGTGGAGGTTGCAGAAGGGATCTGCACTGCCCTGTTCTGGTCTGGAAACAAGTCTTTCTGCTCGTCCCTGAGGTTGCTTTTGGAACTGCTAGCTCCTTGTTGCACTAGTGGTGGATCTAGGAGAGGAATGAGTGGGAACACAGTGGCTCTGCTGGGTACGAAGCAGAGTGAAGGCACCGAACACATGGACTCATCAGCGTAAGTGGTCAGGCTATTCTCAAAGGAGGCAGACGCAGACTTTGCTACTGTGGAGTGATCTTTGGCTTGGTGTGGCCATGTCCTGTGCCATCCCAACCTCCATGCAAAAACCACATGGGGTGGATGTAAGGTGTGCCTATCCCTCAGTGGTGGAATGACTGTTATGCCCACCTGTGCAGGGAACTGGTTGCACAGACGTGCATGCACTGATGCCAAACTTCCAAATGGGTTTGCTTTCAAGTGCTCAGAGAAACTACAGCTTGCATGGGGCCAGTGAAGGAACCTGGATGAACCCCTCTTAGATCAGGGATGGGGAATGCCTGGCCCTTCAGCACTGCAATTCGCATCTGTGCTAGTCAGCATGGGCAAGGGAGACGGAAGATGGGAGCTGCAATCCAGCATCATGCATAGGGCTACACATTCTCCATCCCTGTCTTAGGTGAAAGAGACAGACACAATCGGCTTATGGCATGTGTGTATTTTTTAAACTCTAATTACAAGAATATCTTGTGTAAGGATAGCAATTATGCTCCAAAGTTTAACTTTATCATCATTAAAAAAAATAAAATAAATGAGCTACAAGCTGGAGGGAATGTTTAAAGGGCCAGAGTTCAAAGCACTCCTCGCTCTTCTCCCACCTCCTTTTCAATGCAAAATGTGCTTTTTGTTTAAACATGCCTTCAACCCAGCATGAAATTACATGTTTGCTTTAAATGGAACAGCAAGATGCTTACTCCTTTTGCAGGGGGAACATCATATACTCCTTGGAATTTCACATCAGCCACCTGAGGTGCTTGTGCAGCACCTTTCAGCGACGCAGGAGGGACATCGTAGATCTAAGTATGCAAAGGAGAAACATTTGATTAACTGCCATTCCATTTCAAATCAATCCTCCAGTGCTCATTATCCTTTGCTTGCCAGTGGACATGCATTCACTCAGTAATCCCTGCTACAAACAGGATGAGGTTTGGGGTTTTATTCTCTATTGCATAGTTTTCTAAATACACACAAACATCTCAAGATTTTTCCAGACCAGACCACTCATGCATGCCTAGGAAAGAAATGCAGGACTAGATCTCTCTTCCTTTATTCCTGGAAAATGAGTGGTGCATTTGGGTAGCAACTGGACTCATGTGAACATGAGGGGTGGCCAGCTGTACAATCAGCAGAAAGCCACCAAGCCTTCCCCTTTCTTCTCCTCAGCTCCTGGGCTTTGGTTATGTAGTTCTCCTAAACATGGACAATCCTAAACCCATTTACTTCGAAAAGAATCTAATGGGCCTGATTTCTCAGTACATATTGAACAGGGTTGGACTGTTAGTTATAATAGCTAATGGCCGTGTGGTAGACCTATCCTCCATGGGTATCCCTACATCCCGGTGAAGCCATCAAATGTGAATCAGAGACTTTAATATCTCAGCTTCCCCCTGGATCCTTTTGAAACAATTGGTGTTGTGTCTGCATTCCTGTCTTCCAGTAAGGAGCACAGTTGCAGAGACAACTGGAATATTTTTGCTTTTGTTTTTAATTTCCCTTTTTTATTTTTTGACAAGCCTTAACAGTAACAAAAGCATATAATCATCTTACAATATGTATCAGTCTGTGGAACAGATTTGGAATGGATCTGTAAATAGAGCTATTGTTATACAGAAGAATATTTTCATTTTCAATTCAACTATTTTCCATTTGATTTGACTTGTAAAAAGCTGGAGTGACTCAACAAATTTAAGATGTACCTTAGCAGTTGAGTATAATTTCCTTTGATCTTAGAGCCAAACTACATGTTATGTAAGTCAAGCTTTAGAAAAACAACCACCTACTTGAACTGGCCACTGTTATTCCAGAAAAAAGCATCCCTTGGGCCCTGACCTAGAATGACCACAAGCTAGACTGGGGTCATTGTGCACCGGTTTCCTGTTGAAAATTCCCTCCATGCAGGTGCTGTTTACTGCAAAGCAGGAGCTATTTTCTACCAGACCCTGGTGCAGAGCTTGTTCAAGCACGCTTCTTCTTTTTTAGAAGTGTGAATAACGTTTCATGTAGCTTGCCCTTTGGTTCTTCAAACGCCTTCCCTGGGGTGGAGTGGGGAACAGTTCAGGTGTGAGAATCTTCACGCAGTAAAAACTGAAGCAAAGATTTGATGCACTTTCCTGCACCCTATTCTCCTCCCATGAGCCTTTTGCAGGAAAATAAATAGATAAATTAGCTATGGAGGGCACTAGAAGGCTATTCACATTTTGCGCATGGGCTTAAATCATTTCTGATTTATAGTGGAGATGCAATATGTCTATGAAGGGGTTCCAGTTTTGTCAGCTATAATGTTCACTGGATGACCTTGGGCAAGTTAATTGTGGTTCAGGCCAAATCGCCTCACTGGGTTTGTCCCGAAGATAAAATTATCTTCAGGCCAGGCCTTTTATCACGCCCCAAACATGCCCTTGGCCTGGGACAGCTTTGCAAAGAAATCCAAAGGGGCCCCTGATCCTCTGATGGAGGCTTTGATGCTCATGATCCGCTTCAGCATGGTGGCCTCCTGCCCCATCTCCCCTGAAGTACGAGCGCAGCTGCTGATGGTAATTGACGCCTAATCCCCAACAATTTTCATGAGGTGTGAATCAGCTGCCCTTCCACTGTCATCCTCGTGCAATTCCACTGAGATCAGCATGTCTGTGGCTCATGGCTGGTCCCCAGGCCCTTACGAAGTAGAGCTGGATGGGCCATTGGGGGTTTTGCTCTTGCCAGTGCAGGACACCGCAATAAATTCAGGCAGGAGGAGAGTTCAGGTGGAGTTTGGCATGGATAAGGCGATCTGATGCTAGGAAGAGGCCAGGATGCCCTATCCTGAAGCAGGCCACTGCTGCATCCGAGCCAGCATTGTCAACACTAAATAGCTGCAGCTCTCAGGCAGGATCCCTTCTGAACCCTACCTTGAGACCCCAGACGCTGCAGCCAGGGCCTTCTGCAAACAAACCAGGGGCTCTGCTCACTGAGCTACACTCTCTCCCCTATGTTGACAGCGCAACAAAGGAGAAGCAGACCAGCTCCTTCCTCTCAGGGCCTTTTCTATCTGTGCTAGAAATTAGGAGGCCCGTGCCTCTCTGTTGTGCATGCACAGGCTCCTGAAACATGTAAGAGCCATGCCTTCCTGTTTGCTTTTCAGTCCCCAGCAAATAGGGCATGCCCAAAAGCAGCTTCCACAAATGCTTATGGGGGACGTGGTTGGGACATGCAGCAGGGGCTGGCTCTGTCGTACAAAATACGCTGCTGGAGTGCAATGCCATTCGAAGGGCCCCCGTCATGCTGTATTTATCACATGCTTTCCAGAATCCCCTGAGATGCTCAGAGGGATACTGGGGTCCACGCTCTCTTTGTTAGGATACCTTCCCCACATCAAGGAAGTGGGAGGAGAAACCTTGAGCCAGTTCTGCACAAAGCAGGAACAGGGAAACTCTGAGCTGCACGCTGAAACTTATGGAGAGACTCTCCACTTCGTGTCCTTCGGTTCTTCCAGGAATAAGGGAAAAAATGGGGTGGGGAACCTGCAGAGAGTCTGGTGGCAAGCGGAAGCTGTTCTATTTTCCAACCAAATATAGTTTTGCACCCTATTTATAAGGTATGGGCATTCAGGTAAGACAAGTTATTTTAAATGAGATTATGGGGAAAGGTGTTTTAACTGAGAAACAGCATCAGGGCAGTGGAAGTGGATGTGTAAAGTGCAGAATGCTCATGGGCTTCAGGTGTTCTGTATGCCCTTGTGAAAGAAAAATATCCCTTAGTAAAGAGACAGAGGCAATCTATTTTTAAGCTTCTAGCGTATTAGTAAAACTCTCTGGCCATCTATAAAGAAGAAAATGCCACCTTGTTGAAGATCAAAAAATATTTCTGATTTGGAACAAGAGAACCTGATCCATGCTTAGGAAACAGATAACATGCCGAGACCTCAGCTGCAGATTAATTTCAGTGCTACTGACAGTTTTATTTAGTACATACCCCTTGGAGAGGACGGGTTGGTGGGATATCGTAGGTATCCTTCTGGTATTTCGTAGGGAACTCGTAAACATAACCTTGTCCTGACCTGACTGGAGTTACTACCTATGGGTTGAAAGAGAAAGACAGGAAAACATAAATACTGAAACACTTAGTCAGTCTCAGGCTGAACGCATTAAGAATCTCCATGCAAGCATTTATCTCTCTGATTGATGTACCTTCCCTGACAGTTTTAATGGTGAAAACTCCCCTCCCCCCATCATACATGTTGATACTAAAATGTGTTTCTGAAAATGCATGGCTAACAAAGATCTTTTCCAGCTGTCTTCATATTAAGGGCATAATCCTGTGAATATTTAGACATGAATGGCTAGGGAATACTGGGGACTTTTTTTCTGACTAAGGATATGTGGGATTGTGCTCTAAACTGCTCAATCATTACTTGCCTCCAACTATTCAATGTCTGTATGTGGAAATCGGATGCTACAGGTCAGACCCACAGATCTTATGGGCTCCCGGATTTTGCCTGGCGCTGACGTTTCTGGTGAGATGTCTGGGACTGGGGACTGGGCTTAAATTCAAGGTGTGTGTGCCCACGAGCGTGTGGCAGTGGGAGAGATTCCTGTGTTTGGCTACCTATGGGCTGCTTTGTGCACTCGATGTTTTAAATATATACCTTAGAAGCGATGTGTGAGAAAGATGTGTACACTAGAAAATATGTATTGTAAATGGACCTTCACTGACTTGGTTTGCAGGTAATGACAACCCAGAGTGTAGGTTGCTGAATCATGGGCTTGCCATCACATGTGAACCCTCTATTATGGTTTCGGTATGGGCTCTTAACCATAAACCGCCAGATCCCCCAACCAACTAGGAAACATAGGTTCTCTTCCTGCGTTGTTTATGATAATTAACAATTACAACTCATGTTATATCAAGACATGTATTTCTGCTATTGGTGAAAAAAATAGGACATACTGAGACTAAAAGAGGAATTGAAAAGGGAACTGCAGTTTCCCATTCAGTCCAAACAGTTGATGGAGCTGACATTTCAGTGGACCTCAAGTTATATTTTATTCAACAAAAGCTTGTGTTTACTGTGTATTGAATGGCAAAATGTGTCATTAATACGGTTTAGTCGAAGTTGGCTAAGTTCTGGAAATGAAATACTGTTAATGCTTCTTTTAATCATATGTTTTGCCAGTGTCCAGGAGTTGCTTCTTTTTGGGTAGAAATTATATCATAAGACTAAACTTTGTGTTAAAGCATTCTTTGATATTTTCTGATGTACATGTTTCTTTCTTTAACTTATCTCTCTGTTCCTTGGAAGTTAAAGCATGGTGGACACAAATGGATTTTCTACAACCTTTTGACAATTAAAAGACTGATACCACAACACTGGAAATATAAACACTCACCCCCTATAGTACAGTAGATTGAAGACCTAACAATGTACTCAATATTTGAATGTATGACTTAGAACACCAATCTCAAATGGACATATATACAGATATTGGAGGTGCCTTTTTTGAAACTTATGTGTAATGGGTGCATCTGGTTTTATGCTGCTATATGGATAGTTAAATAAAAGCAAGGTTTTGTTAGTTATTCTTGATCTAGATTAAGTTTTGGTGAAATTCACAGTAACAAATAAATGAAGAAAATAGTCCACCACACCTGCATTTTCCCTTTTTAAAAGCCATTCATGCAATTTCTATCCACGTGAAATTATATCTATTTATATATTATACCTTGGGCTCTCTGATTTCAACAGTTAAATTTCCTTTATCTGTGAAAGAGGAATTCCCATTCCTTGCCTCAGCTTGGATATGGTCTAACAAACTGCCTCCATGAATCTGGATTAACAAACAAATACTTTACATCTGGAATGAAGATTTGCATAGCAAAATTTCAGTTCAGGCTGACTTTAAAAATGATTATAAAACCATCTATAAAGAAAGTTTATAGAGGAAACTGATATTCCCTAAATAATAAATGTTATTTAGCCTAATCGTTTTTAAAAATCCAGGCGCAGAATCAAATGATGCCAGAGGATGGGTTGCTAAGAAGCTTTGCATAGTTCAACAGAGGATGACCTGGAATAGGAACTGCTTTATTTTCCTCATGCATGCCAGACAAAAAAATAGGAGTCTGAGCGACAAAACAGACATCGATTTAAATGTGTGTCTATCAGTGATGGCTTCCCCCCACTTTTGCTCTAGGGTAAGCATAAAGCCCTTAATCTGGACTGAAATCCTAATGTGCATGGGAGGGAGTGCTTTTAAGATTAAGAAAGGTGCCTAGGATATTTTTGCTTTCTCTTTGAAGCCCACATCCAGAGAGGATGGCATGCTTATGACCTGCAAAGAGATGCAAAGCACCTCAAGCATTTGGCAATTAATTGAAAACTGAACATGGCACATTGGCAAGGAAGACTGTGAATGTACTGAAGTCTGTTTTCATGATCTTAGGCTGCAAACATGCATGATTACTAAGGAGTTGCCCACACGAAACACAGTGAGAAAGTGGGATACTTCTGAGAAAATCCTCTTGTCCTTCTCCCCACCCCTCATCACCAACAAGCACAATAGCACCAGGAAGAGACCTCGGGCCTGGAAAAGATGGCTTTGATGCTCCTGGTTCCTGTATACCTATTTATTTATGGGAGTTGGATTTGTGGCACGGCCACTTTCCCCCAGAGTTCCCGTAGCTGCCACTTTGTCCACTAACTCTTCCCTGTTGGTTAGCATCAAGTCAAGGATAGCTGTGCCTCTTATTCCCTCCTCCACTTTCTGTTGGAGGAAGTTAACAGCAACACATGTTAGGAATCTCTCGCAGGGGACATGTTTGGCAGAATTTGCCCCCAAACAGCTATCAGGGAAATTGAAGTCCCCCATAATGACAACATCATGCCTCCTCGAAACACTGACAATCTGCTTTTCAAAAGTTTTGTTCTTATCTTCTCCTTGACTGGGTGCTTGGCAATAGACTCCAGCCACTGTGCTCCTTTGATTCCTTCTCCATTTATATTAATCCAGAAAGTGGCCATGCCTTACTTGAATTCTTAATTATAAAGGAAGCAAAAGCCAAATGTAGCCAAGCACGTACTTCAGATTTCAAGAAAGCTAATTTTAACAAATTCAGAACCATGATGAGCAAAGTCCCATGGCAAGTAATTCTAATAGGAAAAGATGTCCAAGATGGGTGGGAAATCTTAAAAAATGAAATTCTAAAGGCACAACTACATACAATTCCAACAGGGAAGAATTGTAGAAAACAACAAAGGAAGCCCAGGTGGCTTCACAAAAAGCTAAGAGATGATCTGAAAACAAAAAGGACATGCACAGGAAATAGGAGGACCAGGCTCCAAAGGAAGAATACAGGCAGGTAGCATGGAATTGCAGGGAAGGCATCAGGAAGGCTAAAGCCAGGAAAGAACTGAGGCTAGCGAGGGATGCTAAAAGCAACCAAAAAGCCTTCTTCAGATATGTCCAAAGTAAAAGGCAGAGGAAAGAAATGCGGGTTCAGCTACTCAGTGTGATTGGCAAAATGATATCAGATGACAAAAGGCAGAAGTGCCTTCTCCTGCTTTGGCTCAGTCTTCTCCCAGAAGAAGATCGATGACCTTCTTGGAGAAGGGGAAGAACAAACTGAAGGAGCAGGATGGCAGCTCACGATTGATAGGCAAATGGTCAAGGTTCGTCTAATTGGGTTGAATGAGTTAAAGTCTCCAGGACCTGATGAATTCCATTCTAGAGTCATAACGGAGCAGGCGGAAGAACTCTCAGAACCACTGTCTATTCTCTTTCATTTTCTTATTATTTCATTTTCTAATTCATTTTTTCCAATGTGCCTGCATGCTTGATCTTTTCAGAACCTAGCATTGCCCTGTTAAGCATACTTGTTGCAGAAGTGGTGTGGAACAAAGTTACTTGAAAAAGAGTGAAGAAAGAACACGTTTTATTACTTATTCCCCAAGGGACTCTTCATTTGCAGTAATTCTGTTTTACATAAATAACAAGTCCCTATGTTGTTGCAAATAGGAGAGCAGATATGGCAAATTAGAAACAAAAATCCTTTCCCCAGGCAACCTTAAATCTTCATCCTGCCTCTAATGTTAAAAATGCTGGCGTCAGGCTGCTTATATAAAGCACGGAGAAAAAAATCTCCGCCATGGCAAAGCTGCAACGTGTGCCTCTGGAGCCTGGCCAAATCATGCATGTCCACAGAAATTCTAGAATGAGAATCTCCTGTCGCCCATGTTAGTTAGCTCAACAGGATGGGACTGTAACACAGATGGCCTTTACAGAAGCTACATGTTTCTCCTTCTGCATATCAATATACACAGAACAACATATGCAGAACACTGCTACAGACAGTTCAGTACAGAAAAGTGATGGTCAGATATTTGATATCTGAGCCAGTTTGAGTTTTCCAAATTCTTCAAAATGCAGGGTGTTTTGTATTCCCAAACATGAGCATCTTTTTCTCCTCACCTTTTATAAATTGCACATATTTGCAAACATTTTCCTGGATGAAAATGCACATTACCCCCATAGCGTAAGGTGGGAAAGGCAGATTTGGGGGAGATTTGTACATTCTGCATAGGTGTGCACGTTCATTTGCAGAAATGCATGCTTGTCCGTGCACTTTCACAGAAGGGTGTCCTTGTGCAAGAGTGCCAGTGATATAGTGGTACATTCTGAAGTACAAGCACTCCTCCGGATAGTGCCCAAAGCCACCTCCCCAAGGAATATCCAAACCTGCAGGCAGCTGTGTTGATTCCTATCAACAAATTGGTCCTAGGACTTTTTAATCTGCTAGAAGCAGGTCTTTGTAAAGCTAATGGGTCTTAAAGACCCATTCAAGACCAAGCCACCCTAAAATATTTAATGTGCAACAAGGAACATTACATGGGTGCTGGGAAATGTAATTCCCCCCAGCTACTGTGAGGGTTGCTGTTAAGCTCAGGAGTAACGGGGAATTCTGACTGGCAGGGGGGCAGATGACCCTGCTAATTAATAAAAAGTGCTGCTGCACCTCTTAATTGCTGGATCCAGTTCAGCACCATCCATGGCGCTATATTCTTGCATGAGATATGTGTCCAATGTAGTCAGCTTAGGCTGGGCTGCAGAACAAAATACCAGTTCAAGCATGATTTTAGTCGCAGGGAGGAGGAGGAGAACAGCTGCTATTTGGAAACTCTCCAGTGCAGCAGTACAGTGACGTGTTCGACTCTTGTAGGGGCAAAAGACCCCATAGAGTGGGGTGCAAGGTGTGTGCTTGCCCTCTCCTGCCAGAGCAGAGCAAGAGCTTCAGTGGGACATGTGGAGCTTCAGGGGGCAGCAGGGGAGTCAGCACCAGCGACGGGAGGTGCTGTTCTCGCCCCAGGGCAATACCAGGAGCATATGCAGAGAGACAAATGCATGTTTGCTGTTCACTTCTGATGGATGCTATGAACTTCGGACTTAATACTATGACCCATTGCACACAATCAGCATCTTAAGAGTGCAGGATCAGGCTCTGGCCACTGCAGCCATCAGAGATACACTCATGCTGCTTTCCAACACTTCAGTGGCACTTGGAAGTTTACATAAACATCCAATGCCAATTTTTTGAGGAGGGGTGCATATGACATGGTCACAAGCAGGTACAACTCAACTTGTACACTTTTGCAAGCAAGAGACTGAACCAGGGACTGATCCAGGGCCTGTGTGTCATGCGAGAGATTACCCCAAAAGACTTATCCCAGAATCTGCCCTGTGGGATTTGTATGTATTTTTCCAGAATAAAAATTCATCCACTTCCCATGCAGGATGGCAAAGAACTTTTGAAACAAGGGACAGTTTCAAAAGCTACTTACAAAATGGCACAGGAGCTTGTTTTTGGAAGATGACAAGTCAGAAACTGCACTGGGAGACTGTCAACCAAGGCGTACGCCTAAAGTAGGTCATTGCAACTGAGCTATGGATTTTTATTTTATTAGAGGTGCAAGGAATCTGCCCGTCTGCTTGGCATTGCTCGGAGTCACAAGTGCAGGGCATTCCTGCAAAACAAGCCTATGACAGCCAAGTCAATTTGACAGTGGAGGCTTTCCAAATCCATGATTCTTCAGACAGAGAACTCATAGACATGAATGCAATTGTCTTCCCTGGAGGGCATAAATCTTGTTTCTAATCCCTACGTTTTAGTAATTAGCTTGTTTCCCCAGCACATTTTACCATCTCATATTTCTGAGATTACTTACAGTGATTACGTATCACTTTAGATGACTCTTTGTTCTGCAGTGTATGGATTATGAAACAAGCTGACTTTTGTCTGTCTCCAACATCTGTAGAAGGATGCATCCAAAGCTATAGACCACGTGAGGGAGATGAACTGTATGTATCTAACTCAGCCATCCCCAACCAGGTGACCTCCAGATGTGTTGGAACACAACTCCCATAGGTGGTTGAGGGATTCTGGGAGCTATAGTAGAGCACATCTGGAAGGCATCATGTTGGATAAGGCTGATCTAAATTAATCTTACAGTCCTCATCCTGGCCCACATAGTGCTACTTTTTTCCCTTAAGGAAGAACAAACATCTGATAGAGCTTGTTTTATGTCCCCTAAACACACCTTTTGCTGCAGTGAAAGAGAAAAATACATACTGGGGTGCCTCCAAATGGAAGGCTCCCAGAAGTATCTTGTGGAGCTATTCCAACTTCCCCCTCCCTGATGGACTTCCTAGGACAAGAAAAGAGACTGGAGAAGGGTTGGGAAGGCATGGATTACAGATGGAAGGTGACTCTGGCAGACATAAAGTACCATGAATGAAGTGAGGCCATGGCACAATAAAAGCCTTGCCTGGTTTGTTTAAAACCTTCGCACCCCTACTTGAGGGGGCTTAGGACACAGCATCCAAATTGTTAGGAATTCAAGGCTTGGAAGCTTGGAGGCTAGAACCCAAGTTTGGAGCCCAGCCCTTACCCTTTCCACAAGATGTAAATGCTCACTGGTCACAGAGCCTTCCTTAAGCTTAAAAGGGGAAGAGGATACACAGCATCCATAAGAAGGCTGGGTAGCCGGCATGAAGCCTCTGGATTAGCCAGTCTGGCTACAGCTGCTGCTAGATGGTCCTTCTGCCCTCTGCAAGAAGGGAGGTTTTATTTATTTATTTAGAGCATTTAGAGCATTTTTATGCCACCCCCTTCGCGAACAAAAAGCCTCGGGGCGGCTTACAAAGATTCTTTCTGCCTGCTGCACTTCAGCCTCTGGGCCTTACTCAGACACCAGTTTAAGCTACTAACTCCAGCTATTTATTTCAAGGGACCTCCAGATCTCCTGAACTCCAGATCCCTTGTATTGAACTCCAGATCCCTCCAGGTTTAGATTTGGGTATTTATGTCCCCAGACTGAGGCTGCCACAAACAACTCCCCAGGAGTAAGTCCCAGCTGGCTCAAAGGGCCATAGTTCAGAGTAAGCTGCACGTAGGCTTGCACTGCAAGACATTTGGGTCTCCCACACATCTCCTCAAGTCAACAGATGGTACTTCCGTGGCTGCATAATCCACACAACTATTCATGCAACAAGGCCTCACACAGAGGTGTTTTCCATGGTCACCAGGACACAAGAGACTTGTCATTGGGTAATGGGGCCTCAGGAGTGATGGAGGGCCATGTCCTCTTGCAGTGGCTGAAGTGAGAGTCAACTGCCTCTCCAGCTGACTTCGGCTCATTGAATGGAAGGGGTTCCCTTCACCTGAGGCAGTAGAAAGCCATGATCTGGCTCTGTGGTAACCTTAATCAAACCTGCCTCCTCTGCAGAATAACCAGGGCAGAGTCCGTCTTTACCAGAACACCATAGGCTGTTAACTCCATATCTGTTACTCCAACAATACCTGTTTCCTTGCTCCTCTGCTGCAAATTTCTGTGCTACCCTCCATCTCTCATTCCAGGGCTTTGTGCAACTTACCAAATGCAATCCAATTCATCATGCAGGAGAAAGCAACAATAAATGCAGGAGGAGGAGGACTCTACAAAGCAGCTAAGTGATTTTCAAGACCTGTTGGGAAGAAATTGTGTGGGTTGGGCAAATGTCACAGTGCATTCCCATGCCAGTATTTTCCTCCCTGGGGGCCTAAAGAATGCTGGGGTGGGAAGGAGCCACATCATTCCTGCAACCTACACAGATCCTTCCCACCAGATGTGGCCATAACTGTGGTTCCAGCCACATGGAGACAGCTCCAGGAACTTGATGGACGAGTTGCAGCAGAGTTTCCACGTTCTGGTAAGCTTTCTTTGGACCTGCCTGGTGGTTGGGCATGGATCTGCGGATGGGGCATTCTCGTATGTTCCCTTCTGGCCCAGTTTTAATCATAATATCATCCTTCTGTTCTTCAGAGGGCAATGCAATACGCTTTTCTTCCCCAGCCTGGGACCGTCCAGGTAGGACTACAACTCCACAAATGCCCTGGGAGATTATGGGCACTGTAATTCAAAACATCTTGAGGCCAGGCTATACGCTGAAAACAGCCAAAATCTAAAAGGCACATTGTACAATTTAGTGTTTAAAATAATGAGCTTCCATATAAAGGAAACAGAGGAAAATGAAACATTCCTTTGCTGCTCAGCCCCTTCTTTGCTCTCTCTGCTCTTGACGTTCTGGTATGAAGGAATTTGCTTCCGGAGACATGTCAATGAACTGCAAGTCCGTCGTTTGTCTTTCTTTTCTTTGAGAAGAATGCCTGTGGTCATCTGGTTCTTGAAAACACTGCATCTTGAGGAGAATTTTTTGTACTTGTTTATACATTAACAGAACCAGACTGTGCACAAAAGACCGCTCTCGTGCCTGACAACTGCCAAATGCTACGACAATTGTGTTGATGCAGAACGAGGCAACAAAGGTAACAAGACCTGGCTCTGGTGAAATAAACAAAGCATGTGTGTCAAACCTGGAACATAAAAGAAAAGCACTTTGGAGGAGGAGGAAAGGCAGGCTGGCCAAATGTCTGCTGGAGCTCTTAGCCCTGCAAGAGGGGTGACTTGGGCTTTCTTCATGCCAACTCTGTGTTCTTTTACCAAGAAAAGTGCTGCGTGTGCATGTACTCTGTCAAGCTTCCAGCTCTGCGGTTCATTAAATCCCTTTTCCTTACACAAAACGGGGGTGGGGGGAATCCTTCCTATTCATTACCTAACATAGAAAAACAGAAGAATCCTTAAGAACATATGAAAAATGGCCTTGATAGATTAGTCCATCTAGATCAAGGAGTCTCCAATCTCCATGGACATATATGGGAATCTGAGAAACTGCTGCAGGCATCACCACAAAATGGCTCCCGCAGATGAGGTAACCTGCCGTCTAATGGCTGCCACAGAAGGCATGGCTGGTTGGAGGCAAGTAACTCACCCAAGAAACGGAGTGCAAGCAAAGAACGGGTCTGAAGTCCAAAGCCAATCCACCTGCCTGACTCCACTTAAGCTCGCACTCCTGGTTGTGCTAATATGGACCTCATGGGAATGACTTCTGAGCAGGCCTATGTAAAATTGTTCATCCCATTCACACGTGGCTGTGTACACAGGCAGGCAGGCACACGCATGGTGGGGGTGGAAATCAGGAGAGCCAAGGGAGTCTGCCAGCGTGAAAGATGACTTCGAGGTGCCAGGAAGCAACTCTGCTGTTCTTTCTGCTTTTCTCTCGCTGCCCTGCAACAGGGGATGAGCAGATGCTCAGAGGCAAAAGGAACCCTTGCTGCCCCAACCTTTCCTGGGGTTCTTTAAAATTAAAAATACATTTTTGAAGGGAGCAGGTAATGAAAGACAGTGTCAGTGATATTGGAAGTACATGCTAGAGACCCCCTGATCCAGATTCTGTCTTGCTCTTAATTCTGTTATTGGTGATGTTTTCAAGTTTTAAATTTGGGGTTTAAAAAAAAGTTTTCCAATTGTGTTAAAGTTTTTTAAAAAAATTAAAAAGTTTCTAAGGATACTAGCATATGCATGTTTAGGCAGAAAAATATTCCAACAATGCCCAGTATACCTCCAGCTAGCCACGTGGGGAATTGTACGACTTTTCCTGCTTAAACACGTCTAGGATTGTAGCCTAAATTCTTTTAAGCTTTAATTGTAAGTTACCTTGGGGCCTATTTAGGGCAAGAGGAATTCATACATGTATACATGAATAATAGAGAAATATATCCAGACCAGCAGTCTTTCAGCAGTGGCCACTAAGGAGCTTTATGGGTTACTGCTACACTTTAAATAAATAAAGAGCTAGTCTTATTGTTATTTTAAGGGTAGTCCTAGTTTTCCCCCAATGGACTTGCAACTGAATGATCAGCATAGAATCACATCAACAGTGGATCAGCTAAGAATATGACACATTCTCTTTAAACAGTATATATCAGAATGTGTATAGAACTTTCATGCTACTTTTATGGCAAGGACTTCCTCATGTTTAATGGAAAAGGGAAGCAAGTATTACTTATTCTACTGATTCTAGGTCCATGGGTGTTGTATAGAACTGCTGTCTGTGTGAAACATGCTATCCTGTACCACATCTTGAGTCTGCCTTTGGCACAGTAAGGCATGATATAAATATAGGCATGTGTTTAAAATTTAAAACAGTAAGGGTCCAGACCCCCCATTTTGCAGGTTACATCTCCAAGACACAGGAGTAGTGTGGCTACTTGTACACCTTTCAAAGGGCAGGCCAACCTGTGAGTCAACACAGACAGCTGCTCAGTCCTACAAGGGCTTCAGTTAACAGGTGGGAACTTGCCTAAAGCGCCACAGGTGTGCTTCAGAGGTGATCCTGGAACCTGGTTCTGCTTGTTCACGGGACCTCCACTTATCACATCACAGTAACTTGGTACAGACAACATAATAGCTTGCCTCTTGAGCCTGGGTTATCCTTGAACTGGGTTATCATCTTGCCTGAATGTAGCTGAGATAACAAACTAGTGACAAATCATAAGTTCTCTTTACAGATGCTCATGATTAGCAAGATAAGGCTTGATGACAGGATAACTCACATGTCACAACAACCCATGGTCCAATGACAACCCACGCTCAACCCACGCTCAGTGGGTTCTCACAGTGTCTGAACCCACTGGCTACTAAAGCTGCAGAGGTATTTGTTTGCTTAACCTCTTCTGAGAATCCTTTAATGCCTGCTTGGCCTTCTTGTTTCAAGAAGAGTGTGAGGGACCATCTCTTTCTCCTCAATGCTTTAAAAACTGATTCTGCTCCCTTACACTCTTTGCGACCTTTTTATGGCTATCTAAAGATCAAACAGAGGAAATGATGTAACAAGAGGGGTCATATCTGAGAGTAAATATGGGTGACCTCTCCCCCTGCCTCCACCTTTCGAATAAGAATGTCAGAGGCAGGTGCACTGGATTAAAAATTTTCAGATGAGGGCTCCTCCTCATCCAGCAGTTGACTAAGATAGACCTGCTGAATAGCAGTTTCCAAAGACAATGCACTCACAAAAAGAATCTAATTAAAACCGATTGTTCTGAACAAAGGAGCCCCCTGTTCTCTCCAGTCTTGCAGGAATGCTGTCACACTGAAGCATGTATTAAGTGAAACTGATTATGAAACCTAGGTTAGAAATCCATGTTCACTAAAGTGGAGAAAAAGTCAGTCTTAGTGAACTTACTTTGTAAAAAGATCCTTTTCAGCTTGTTAAAGAAATTACTTCACAAAATGATCACCCAATGCTGGAAGAATTGGCCAACATTTAAATGCCCAGAATGTGACAGGTCTGACAGACAAACATGAATAAAAGCTGCAAGACAAGGAATGGGGTGAATTCATAACTGGTCTTTCTGTCATTCCAAGTTAGACATTTCCCTTTCAGGCTGAGGAGCTGTGAAAGGGTATAATGAGGGTTATTTGTATTAATGGTTCTCCTTAAAACTATCCACTTGCACTGCAGCTTTTTCCAATGTGTTGGACTACAAATCTCATAATCCCCAGATAGCCCTATTTTCAAGCAGCTCTGTAACATCCCCACATATAACATCTTTTCTAGCACATTTCAGGCATTTTTGTTCTTTTAATATAAAGTCCGAAGTGCCCCTGTTTTTGATTCAGAGGGGCCTCTGCTATTTTATTTCCAAAAATGACTAGTTAGCATCATTCCAGCTTGCTTAATATTTTACAGTAACCACACTGAACCCCTTTCAGCTCAAGGACTACATTCAGTGGTGGAGAAAATCTCTAGGGGTGTATTTGAGTCATAGGCAAGGCTGCAGGGAAAACAGTGCCAAATAATACCAGAAATGCCAAAATTACCAACATATTTTAAAGCTCTTACTGCCAGTAATTAAGATTTAAGATAGAGAGTTCTCCTTTCACACGGGGAAAAAACTGTGCAAATGCCAGGAAAACAACAAACAACAGGTTGGTGGGTAAAGGAAGAAGGTATTGGAAACAGGCAAGCTAGGTCTGGCCAAGAGGTACAAAGTTCAGGCTGAACATTATGAGCTTATTTCAAATGAACGTGATAATGCTGACAGAAACCATGTTTTAACTTGCATTAAAAAACAGAAATAAGGTTTACAAAAGTTATCTGACTAGGTAAACCACAGCAATTAATTATTTTAAAGATAACACTGTTTAACTACTGATTGGCTCCTGCTTTGGTATTAACAAGCAACTGCCTTAAGCCGTCCCAACCAGCCTGTGGTCCTAGACTGAAGCAACAGAGGCAAACAAAGGTTGATTCACTGGGTGTCTCTGAATAAACAATACCTCTCTGTGAGTTCTCTTGTCTCCATGCATTCTTTTCATCAATGCATTAGTAACATCCTGGCAAGTTGTGCTAATTTTCCCCTGCTAGTATATGACTATGAAGGCCTTTAGGGGCACCATAAAATCAAGCTCTATAAACTAGAATAAAGGATAAACTTGATTTTTACATGAAGCTGAAGGATTACTTATGCTTCTCCACATGAAAAACAATATTCTTTTACTTAGACATTCCATGCCAAAATGCCAATACACTTTAAAGGTACAGTTGATACAGAGTTCTGCTTGTTTGTTCTGGTCATTCTGTCTTCCCACTTTAAACAGCTGTGTCTCCCCTCCACAACAGCAAAAAATCATTGCTTCTGTGGCATAAAAACACCACACTATAGTTTTCCAGTCCTGCCTCCATCCTGCCCAAGGTCAGTCAGTCATTGAGTAAGTTCAGTCATCCCTGAATTCCCCTTCTCTTTAGGAATTGTATTTCCCATTTTTATATATTTCTGCCAGCTTTTAGCTTTCTCCAAGCCTATTTGACCATGAAGCTCTCCAGGTGACTTTGGGCTGGTCACTCACTCTCAGCCTAACCAACCTCGCAGAGATGTTGTTGCAGGAATAAAAATGAAGTAGAGGAGAACTATGCAAGCTGCTTTGCGTTCCCTACAAAAGGAAAAAGATGGGATACAAATGCAATATAGTAATAAGAAGCAACAGTATGCACAAGCTGAAAAATAGGACTAGACCACGGAGCCAACATGCCTGTCCATCTGCACTCAGTTCTAGGCTTCTTGAAACAAAACCCCAGCTGCAATAGACTATACATCTGGCATCCATCCAATCTGAATTTGTGTTGAAAAGGGTTGGTTGGCTCTGAAGTGATAGCCAAATATACTTCAGGACGTGGCTAGATGCTACTGGCACCCAATTCCATTCAGAATTTTAGCTCCAGTGAATGCAGTGGTTTAGACTGTTGGAATGGAATCTGGGAGATTTGGGTTATAGGTCCCACCTGGCCATAAACTCTCTGGGTAAGCAGGAGAATCAGTCACTGAGGTTGTTGTGAGGATAAAAATGTAAGCCACCTTTTGTTCCTTGAAGAAAAAAAAAGTCAGGATGTGAACACAATCCATTAAAAAAATCTCCAGTGGATTTACAGTATAAGCCAGTCCACAGCCTAGTCAGATGAATCCATCCTCAGCCATCCTCAAGTTTTATGATACATGAAAAAAATTATCAGTGTGGTGTAGTGGGTAAGAGCACAGGACTGTGGCTCAGGCGGTCTGGGTTCTAGTCCTTGCTCAGGCATGCAGCCATCTGGGTGACTTTGGGCCAGTCAAGAGACTCTCAGTCCAGCCTACCTCACTGGGTTGTTGTGGGGATAGGACTGAGAGGAGTGGGGGGGGGGAGAATGATGAAAGCTGCTTTGAGTTCTTTAAAAAAGGAAAAAAGCAGGATATAAATCTAATAAATCAAATAAATTAAAAAGCACATAGTGGTACACTTACTGGTCTCCTAGCCTAGCTGGACTTCAGTACATGGGTAGGAGATTATTTCTGGAAACCACATTTAATTATCACTATTGCTATCTACCAGTGTATGGTAAAACAGATGTAGGTGGAATGAGAAAGTTTCTCAGAAGAGTCAATTCACCCACAGCAGACCCTGAGAGGGATTTTTGCCACTTCTTTCCATGAAAGTGACTCAGTGCAAAAAGTACAGAGCTTTGACACATTTCTAAACACAGAAAAGTGCATGGTAAAAATTGTGGGTCTGCTAGGGTAACTGCTTAATGTAAATCAGAGTTAATTGTTTGGGAGCAAATCTATGTGCCATTGCTCTGAAAGGGGAGCACAAGCACAAGTAGCAGAGTTGGTGTGGGTGAACAAACCAGTTCCTTCCCATAAAGACACATGCAGTGCTGTGTAAATATCCTGTATATACTACAGAAAGAAAACTGGATTTAGGCAATCGTGCGGCAAAGTAGCAAGTGTAAGAAATACAGTCCCTTAAAAAAATCCAACTCCACAAATAATTGGCAAGATGAAAGGGAGGGAGTCAAAGCATTTAAACCCTTATATTATTTAACTGCTCAAATCTGGCTACTCTGACTTCTCATGGATGGATACCTCCTTACCTTTTCTGACTTAAAGATTTAGCAATGCTTGGGAATTACTAACTGTATCCTAACACTCACATGTAAGATTTGAAACGCTGTGTAGTGCAAAACAACAGCAAACTGGAAAAATGCCTGAAAACAAGCAAAGAATAACTCTGGGTTCTGATCACAGATTATTTGCATTTTATACTAAAGTAACATTAGTGCTTTAGTATAGAATGCTTTAGTATTAGAGAGCCAGTGTGGTGTAGTGGTTAAGCGCATGGGACTGGGACTCAGAGGATCTGGGTTCTAGTCCCCGCTCAACCATGGAGCCAACTGAGTGACTTTGGGCCAGTCACAGACTCTCAGCCCAACCTACCTCACAGGGTTGTTGTTGTGGGGATAAGATGGAGGAGAGATAATGAAAGCTGCCTTGAGCCCATTGTAGAAAAAAGGCAGGATATAAATCGCAATATAAATAATAAATAGTGTGCTCTCAACTACATCCAATATTAAAAAAATAACCCACTGCTGTGACTTAATCCTCAAAGTCCCTTTAAAATAGCAAACACAGGATATCAAGGTTTGATTCTCATAAACTAATTTGATGGATTTGGGTATCGAACATAGCAGAGGCAAACAGGGGCTTATGTGATAATAATTCCATTAATTTCAATGGAATTTGCAAACCGATGCTCTTGTAATGTAAATACCGTTGTTCAGATGCCGTAGCAGGGTCT